AAAAAGAGTAGATATTTCCTAATTTGATATTGTAAACATTCAAGAAAAATGGAAAGAGGCCTAGTTCTCATTTGTGAATATTCCAGTTTTTATGGTGTGACTTGGATTTCACAAACCCACTTGAAGATTTCTTGTGAATCCACAACTTGCATCAAACTTTTGTATTGCCGACCCATGGATCGACCATTATAGAGGATTGTGTTGGTTTTTTCATGATGTTTAGTGTTGGGTTTTTGAATCTTCGCTTGGATCTTGATTCTTCTTTTGTTTGATATGGATTTTGGGTTTAAATCGAGTTTAGAGGAAAAGATGTTTTGGAGGGAACGTGGGAGGGAAAATAAAGATTTTGTGTTGTGTTTTTTTTTTTTAAATGAGTTTGCTGGTAAGGTGGGTGAAAGAGAGAAATGGCAGATAGGATTCTTGGTTGTTGGGAAAGAAGGGTTGTCGTAGATATAGATGGGTTTCTCTCTCTAGATATGAGAGAAGGGTGTTTTGGAAATTAAAAAAATGATATACAATAAATTTTCATGTCCACGTCAGTCTTTTATAAAATTTCATTAATTTGGAAATTTTAATTTTGACTTTATTTTTTTTGTCCTTTGACCCCCAAAACTTAATTTGTATGGAATTATCCCAAAAGATAATGTACAGTAATTTTCCATATTTACGTCATACTTTCATAAAATTCCATTAATTTAGAAAATTTGATTTTGGCTCTATTATTTTGTCCTTTACCCTAAAAACTCCATTTTTATAGAATTATCCCTATATATATATATATATATATATATAGTGGTGTTCAATTGCTCCCTGAAAGCATAGAGTAGTATATTCACTTTTAATCTTGACCTTAAAATAGTATACTCACTTTTAATCTTGACCTTAGAATCTAATCCTACCGTAATTCATTAGTCAACGTTTGGTTTTTATATTTAAGACAATTGCTTCTTTTTTGAGATAACAATTCTATATTATTAATAGGAAATGACAAAACTGTACAAGTTTTTAATGGAAACAAATTAAATCAAAATTGGTTAGGATTATCTTTTATACGAATTCCTTCCTATCCGAATTCTCAAACCATACCAATTAAAAAAAAAAAAAATTAGGGTTTAGGGTTTTAGGTTTTAGGATTTAGGGTTTAGGGTTTTAGGGTTTAGGGGTTTAGGGTTTTAGGGTTTTAAGGTTTAGGATTTAGGGTTTAATGGAAACAAATTAAATCAAAATTGGTTATGATTTTTTTTTATATCTTTTATACGAATTCCTTCTTATCTGAATTCTCAAACCATATCTTTTAATTTGTTTTATATCTTTTATACGATTTCCTTCTTATCTGAATTCTCAAACCATATCTTTTAATTTGTTTTAAATATTTCCAATTTGGTTTTAATTTGATTTAATTTGTTTCCATTAAAAACTTGTATAGTTTTGTCATTTCATATTAATAATATAGAATTGTTATCTCAAAAAAGAAGTAATTGCCTTAAATATAAAAACCAAACACTGACTAATTAATTACCGTAAGATTAAATTCTGAGGTCAAGATTAAAAGTGAGTATACACTCTATGCTCTCAGGGAGTAATTGAACGCTACTGTATATATATATATGATGTATCTATATGTATATTCTTCTCTAAGAAGCCCTATTATATAGTTACGAATTATTACCTTTAGTCAAGCAAAGCAATGGCAGATCGACGTCACACCAAAATTAACATGGCCGCAGTTTACCCTTTGAACAACACCCCTGAACCCACAGATGTGCCGCCCCCGGTAAATAAAGCACTTCTTCGATGCTGGGCATGCGGTTGGGCAAGTTCGTACGTCCTTACGGGTATGTTAATGTTTGTATTTTGGCACTATCAACCACGCCGGCCAATATTTCATCTTCATTCACTTTCCATTGCCTATCCATTCAACATGAACTCCCATGTAAATGCAAATACTACTGTGATAAGTTGGAATACGACTTTAGTGGTTCGGAACCCTAACCGTTTTGCAAAATTTATTCATGAACAAGCTATTAATGTTTCGATATTCAATAAAGAGGTTAATCTCTCATCCGTTACAGCTGCAGCTGCTATTACACCTTTCTATCAATTGCCAAAGGACAAAAGATCCCTAGGTGCTACCTCGTCTGTGTCTATGGCCAATGATATTTTGGTGGGGTATTGGTCAAATAATGGTGGTGTAACTAAGTTTATTGTGACCATAGATGATGTTGTCATGATTAGGGGAGGGTTCTTTTATGGTATCGAAAGGCTGAATATGAGGGTCATTTGTAAGGATGTCAAGATCGTATTTTTTTCTGATAACACAACAACAGGAGGCACATCAAATTTAGGTGATTACTCCAAGCAATGCAAGATCCAATATTCAAGAGAATTGACAGTTAATTAGCATATTTATATATAGTAGAAAGCTCTTTTTTATTAGATGGTTTAGGCCACCATTCTCATAAGATTATGCTCAACAATATGATTCAGGGTTTATTTCATTTTATGGAGTATCTGTCATGTAATTTTTGCTGAAATTGATTCTACTTATTCAATTATCAATTATTAGCATATAAAGCAATATTTATTTTTATTTTTAATTTTGGTCGCCAAATTTTAAATTTTCGTATAATTAGAATTTATTTATTTATTTATTTTGTCTGGAATGACATGAACCATTAGGACCCCTCAATAACTCAACTAATCCGCAAAAACTCAGAAGAGCCCAAATCGTTGCAGGGGTAGGGAGGCTAATCACAAAGAACACCTCAAACCCCAAACTTTGGACTTGTTAAATTTCAACCAAAGTCTAACAAGTAAACTGTTGAGGGAGTGGATCCCATAATTAGATTTGATATAGCCTTTAGTAAATTTTTTTTTAATATATTATAAAAAGACTGTGTGGTTCAATGATAAGATGACACCGAAATCCCCATCAATATCAATCAACAAAAAGAAAGAAAACAAAAGGTGAAATAGCGGTAGGGTTTGACTTTAGATGGGTACGAATACATAGCTTTCCTGGATAAGTAATTGGAAAATTGGCTTACTCCGGAGAGTCCCACCATCATTGCTTACTCAGTTGGAAAGTCTGACTAATATTATATAAATAAGAAAAAATACAAATATGAAGAGAACCAAAAAAAACACAAATCCCTAAACAAAAGGCCAAACACTGGCATAAAAAGAAAGTTAGAAACCCGATAAACCTGCCTCAATTACCGAGTCAACTCAAAGATATAATTTTCAATACTATATGTATCATTACTACTCTATCTTGTTTCCATAATATATGTCTATTTTTCCTTTCTTATTTTTCAATTTTTCATACCTTATTTCCTTTTCCATTTATGGTCATATCATCATCATCATCTTCTTCTTGTTTTCTTCTTTTTCACATCAAGTTTCATGGTTTAAAATTGGTGGTTATTTAATATGCATCATTACTATTCTATTTTGTTTCCATAAATACATCTATTTTTCCTTCCTTATTTGTCCGTTTTTCATAACCCATTTCCTTATTTTTTTAGTTTTTCATTTATTGTTGTATCATCCTCTTCTTCTTTTCGTTTTCACATCAAGTTTCATAGTATTCAAATATATTTTGTTCAAAATTTAAAACAAAAATTGCATTGTTTTTTTTACAATTTTTCAATACTTTGCAAAAAAAATTTAAAATTCTCTCCTTATTTTTGTTTCTGTCAATAGATCATCATCTTTGATCACCAATATTTTAAATATAAATAGGGATACACAATCTAATTATGTATAAGATATGTCTAAAATATCTCAAGAGTTCTTTCAGAGATGCAATGTGATGTGTATATATATATAATAGATACACAATTTGATATAGATTGAAACTTTAATTGCCAACAAATATGCTAGATTAAGATAAAACCTAAAAAAAAGTCTACAACTTTTTAAATAGTTTATTACCTTATATTTTAATATGGGTTCCATTATATTTGACATATAAATAGTCACATAGATTTTTATTTGTCAAGCTAAATAGCAGGACTCGTAAATACTCAACAACCTTATTCCTAACAGAAACCAATGCCGACTCAATATACGACTCCCTTATGGGTTGCTGATACATTTTTTTGCACCAATTTTGAGTTTTTACAATGCCTTTTGGAGTTGCAAATGGCCACATTTGTTGTAGTGTATATAATGTTAGGAAAGTCATACAAATGTTATATTGATGGTGACAAGAAGGTGTGTTGAAAATCTTTTGAATATTAAGCATGATTTTTTTATCTCTTATAAAGTTAACTTGAATTTGAAAAGAAAAGAAAAAAGAAAAAAAAAATTCCAAACAAGAAAGTACAACCAACAGGCATCATATTAGACCTTTGATACATACTTTTCAGCTCTCCTTATATATTTAAATTTTTTTAATAGCACATTTATCATATACACAAAACAAAAATCATGACTTTATCACTTATCTTAAAATAAAAAATAAAAAAAAATAAAAAAAAAATAAAAAAAGAAAAAAAAGAAGAAAAGATTTGAAACTTAATGAAACTTAATCTTTTAAAAGTAAAACAAATTGAGACCATCACTAATTCTTTTCTTAACTGAGTATTATCAAACATCTATATATATATATATATATCTTTGTATGTATAATGTATCTATACATATATACTCACTACAAGAAAAATGACTTTTTACCATGGTGGAAAAGGCTTTCTACCACAATTTTGAACCATGGTCGACTTTCTACCACGGTTTTGCACTGACTTTCTACCACGGTGCAAAACCGTGGTAGAAAGTCTATTTTCTCATAACGTAATAGACTTTCTACCACGGTGCATAACCGTGGTATAAAGTGTTATACAATTTTATTTTTTTTATTTTTTTATTTTTTTATTTTTTTTATTTTTAAATAATATAGCCCATTTGAAGCCTTTTTTTTTCCCCTACTAATAGCCTTGCAAGGACCCCATAATCGAACCCTATGTAAATAAAAAATAGCATCATAACCAAAATAATTTACAACTAACCAATAACATCATATATATATATATAAAACCAATTCTAAATCATTGTTTTATACAAAAATTAGCCATATACAAATTTCAAATAAGTACATGATCCACACCTCATATATTTACTTAACCAAAATAAAACAAAAATTCTTTGTATCTTCTTGCAACTTCTTCATGAGCCATACAAAAAATATAGCGGCAACAAAAAAAGTAACGGCAACAGCAACCCGCAATTCTAGCTTTGACCTACAAAGATGTAATAGTTGAGGTAAGAGAATTAATGTAAAGCAAGTTGTAAAGTTGTCAAAATTAAACCAAGCAAAGCAAGCATTATAATAAAGGTACATTGAAAGATCTACTCTTCATATTAACTCAAGCAAAGCAAGTATTAACAGGGTCTTAGCTCAAGCAAAGCAAGTTCAGTGTGTCAAGGAAATAGTCCCAGGATTAAAGCTTAAGCATGGCTTATTTAATAGGTTATTGAAAGAACACAACCCTCCCAAATTGCTCACAAGAGGGCTTTATTCAACAAAGAAAATGACCTCATCTAATTCAATTTTTCTTTCTTTTTGACACTTATTTAGGACTGAAACCTGGCCAGATTCTTTTAGAAAGTTTAGTAGATCTATTGTTTTTTTATAACCTTTCTTCTCTTCTTTTCAAAAGGAAGCGCCTGGTTTAATTAAATACTAATTTATCTTGCTATACCTATTTTTGGATATGCTACCAATCAAATAAATGATCTAGGATGGTTTGTCAACCATATTATATGGGACTCAGGTACTTGTGTCTTGAGTTGGTAAATGTCAAAGCAGGTAACTGTCTAAGGTTGAATATATCAAATACCTAAATCTGAGGACACTGTTAAATAATAATTATTATTTGCCTTGGATGATATGTCTTTTATGTGACATTGAGATTCATATCTACATCACCTTCTACTTTAGCACAGAGGTCATGTATTCTAGTACCAAATGGTGATTTAAGGGACTGACCTAACTCTAATTAATTTCTCACATTCAAAAACAAACTCACTTTTAATCTAAAGCTCACCTTATCACCACCACGTACATATGGTTCGGTTCTTAGGCGCATTTTTTATTCTTTATTTTTGCCTCTCACATTTGCTTTTATATACACTGCCATAAATTGAAGCTCAATTTCAACCTCTCATAGACAAAATAAATGACGACCACACACTTGCACGACATTCATTTGGACGCCAGTGTTTTAGCGTTTAGAAACAACTATATTTTCATTGTTGGCTATTCAAGTATATTAATAAGCATAATGAGGATATGTTTCACAGTTTCTGGATGTTTTTCTTTTGGTATATTTTTCTTAATTATGAAAGCACTAAGAACTTTCACTTATTTAAATTCAGATGTACTTTTTTTATTCAAGAACAAACATCATACAATCACAAAATATTCCACTATAGTAAAAAAAAAAAAAAAGACGAGAATTTATTATGAGAGAAAGCAATCATCAGACTAAGAAAAACCCAATCGCACCATGACCTCTCTAAACCAGCAGTTCCGCCCCCACCGCCTTTATAACAAAAAATAGCACAACAGCAGAATCTGAACATATAAACGCCCAAAAAGCTAATAAAAGAAAGACATGCAAATTGGTAACACTACGGTTAAGCAAGCAACTCATGCTAACGCAGTTATTATTGAAGTGACTGGGATCACATTATAACTTAGCACGCACAAACAAATACACACAAAATAATTACAATATTATAGAGAGAAGGAGAAGCCTTCACCACTTCTAGGGGAAACTATATATATACTACTTGGTAACACTTCAGTTTTTAATTTTAAATTTCATATAAAGAAATTGGCAGACTGTGTTGGCACATTGATTGGATTGGGAAAACATCACTTTGTTTTATCAGATACCCACAATAAAAATCAACTAAAAAAAACTACAAAGGAGTCCACTAACAAAACTTATAGAGATGTACAAAAGTTTACCTCGGAAACAAACTTTGCAAACAAGATTTAAAGCTCACCAAAATGAAGATGAAGCACATTCTGTCAGAAACAAAGGAAAGGAAAAAAATATGGATCAGATCAGTTCGCACTAAGGTTTCATGAACTTCCTACAATAAACAAATAAATCAGAAGGAAGCCTAAAAATCTGTTTGAAACAGTTTTTCCCAGCAAAACCTACTTCCCTTTGAAAATTCATAAAATAATATATTCTCAACCAATTTGCATGAAACCAATGTCCATTGGAAGCTTAAAGACTATATTTTTCTTCTATCAATTTAAATCAATAAATTTTCTTACCAATTAAATCAGGTTTGAAGGAAAAGATACGAAAAATTATGCTCACAAAACAGTTTTGACAGCATGTTAACATCAACTTTGAAAATCCATAATAATTTCAAAATTCAATCAATTTGAGCCAAAACAAAAGCCTGTAAACTCATTAACAATTGTACTTTCATATCCAAAATTTAATTTAAAAGATAACAATTCTAAGTATAGAGATTTGAGTTCTAGAATCAGCATGTTTGTTTTCATTTTCCAACACAGCTCTTCATTTAAATTCTAACAATTCTTCAATTAATTTCACTCCATTAACAAGAAGGTCGAAACCTACCATACCTACAATCTATATATGTCATAAAATCGAGTGGTTTGATGATAAAACTATACTAATCCATTTTTTAAAATCGTCAATCGATAAGGAAAAATAAAAATTGAAAAACCATCAAGTCCAACTTTCAAAACGCAGCAATCCACCCATAAAGTATCTCTGAAGATTCCTCTCAATAATTAAACAAATATATAATCTATCTTAATTTAGTTGTAATTTGAACCAGAAATGTACTCTTTGAAAAAAAAAAAAAAAAAAAAAAAAAAAAAACTAACTAGAAATGTACTATGAATTCTGAAATCTATATACTACATGCCCCAAAATTGAAGGAAAAGAGACGTCGCCGCCCCACCCTAACCCCAGTTTTGTACTATACATCAAAGAAAAAAGCTGGGTGGTTATAACTTCACATTTTTTTAATGGAGCAAATTGTTTATAGAGAAATGTTGGAACAAATTCATTCTTCAGAACAAGGCAATTTACATAGATTTATTTGAAACGAAAACTATGTAAGGAGATATATGCATTCTTAAAAAGAATTCACAACATATGATAATGATGAAAAATAATCCACCAGTGCTGTAATAGGATTCAGAACTAAATTAAATTCAAAGAATGAAACTTCAAACTTACATCTACTCGTTACATGATGATAGCAATTTCCTATAAATGCAAAGCACAACTTTTACGGAGCCAAAATGCTCATTCCTCAAATCCTTATAAAATCTTTGCTCTAGGTAATCAGTAATCTATATAAGAACCAACAATGGAAGTCACTTCAAAAAAAGTCATAGGCACTTTGCCAAGGTTACAAATTTTAGAGTAACTTTTTTGGGTTTGACAGAATTTTTGAACTATCAAAAATTTGTCATTGGGTTCAAGAGATTGATATTTTCATTGCTTCAAATTCTCAATTGTTTTTGACATTTTCTTAATCAATATTTCCATTATCTTTACAAGATTTTAGAGTAAATATTTGATTTCAACAGGGGGAAAATTTGAATTAAATAAAAAAAACTCTAGAAACTAACTGACTATGAGCATAAAGTTAAGAGCACAAGGCAAGGCTTGCCTTTAACTTCTCTTGTCTCTTAATGTGCTAGGAAAATTGTATTAGACTATTAGGTGATAAATTTCAATTTGAAACCGTAACTAGAAAAATCTTTCAAAAAAAAAAAAATTGATGGGTTAACTAAAGAATAGTATAGTGGCTGAAAACTTTATATGGTAACTGCAAATTTAAATTTAAATGTTGAATTCAGAAAGCTTGAATTTGCTTGAGTCAGGATTTTTGATAGAGCCATGAATTGAATTTTCAGAACAATAGCCTCTTAGTGAAAGGGAAGTTTGGCCGTACCTTCGGTATTCGTAATGGATTTTTCAAAGCATAATCACAAAGCTTCCCAATTTTTTCGGTCTTTTGGTTCAGCATCCTACAAAAGGTGATTGACATAACAATATCAGAAGCCTTTAAAGGGGATAAACCCTAATTTCATATATACATCAACAAAATTGAAATCCCTAACCTGTTCGTATGCATCCTCTTCAAAAATTGAACTCCTCTAGCCCAACTATAACATCAAAATCGCATAGATGAGTGGTGAGAAGAATAAGAATCAAAATTTATGTATCCATTTTAATCGACCGAGTAAGTTTTGCGAACACACATACACACACATACACATATATACGTGTATAAATAGAGAGAGAAATAGATTGGAAACAAACCTAGCAGCAGCGGTCGTCTCCAAATCGCCGAACACACCTTCGCGTTTCTAATGGAGGATTCCAGATTTAGGGTTTCTTCTTTAGGGGTTAGGGTTTGCTCTGATGGCTAACTGAAAGAGGCTTGATGGAAAGAGGGAAAAACATTTTCACCGGTTAGGGCTTTAATCCACCAGCACTGTATGTGGTTTTTTTTTTGTGGGTGTGTGGTTTTGTCTCTGAGTTTTCGTTCGATACAGCTTGAGGGAATCGTGGCATAGCCATTCCTAATCTAGTCGCTTGCCCTCGCTCTACTGAATATATGTATTTTTTATTTTATTTTTTTTGGAGAGGACAAGCATTTAAAGTATCAGCGGCAATAAAACCCGCTAATATAAATTCACCTCCTAACCGTGGTAGAAAGAGGCCCTTTCTAGCACGGTTCGGCATTAACCGTGCTAGAAAGGGCCTCTTTTTACCACGGTTCTGCATTAATTGTTGTAAAAAACACTTTTTACCACAGTTTCGTAAAAATCGTGATAGAAAATGGTCTTTCTACCACGGTTCTTGAGGAACCGTGGTAGAAAGCGTTTTCTACCACGGTTAATGCGGAACCGTGGTAAAAAGATCGTGGTTAAAAGTTATTTTTCTTGTAGTGACTCTTGTCTAAGAAGCTCTATTTGTTACGAATTATTAATTACCTTCGGTCGTTATAGTCATATTCCATTCTCTGTGGTAGATTGATTTTATCAAGCAATGGAAGACCAACGTGAAGCACAGTCTAAACATGTCATCGCTGGCCACACCAAAATTAACATGGCCGCAGTTTACCCCTTGCACGACACCCCTAAACCCTATGATGCCCCGGCCGGTGGCTAAGCCCTTGTGCAACACTAGCTGTAAAAATCTTGTCACCCTGTTAAGTATTGCTAGCCTTATTGTGTACATTTTAATGTATCTATCATTGCACTATATACCACACCCTCCAATATTTTATCTTCATTCACTCTCCATCGTCTCCCCTGCATTCAACATGACCTCATCTATAAATACTAATACAAGTGTGATCCGTTAGTACAAGACTTTCATTGAACACGCCATTAATGTTTCGGTCACCTATGGCTACTAGTCGGTGTCCATGGCCAACGATATTTTGACGAATGATTGGTCAAAAAATGGTAGTGTAATTAAGTTTATTGTGACCATAGATGATGCTTTGTGGAAGGGAGTATGGTGACAAGTGACAACAGGCTTAATACGAGGGTCATTTGTAAGGATATAAGAGTCATATTTTCATCTCATAATTCAACAACAGGTACATCAATGTTAGGTCATCATTCCAAGAAATGCAAGATCCAATATTCCAAGGAATTGACAATTAATTAGCATATTTATTAATACAAAAGAAAGCTTTTTTATTAGCTTGTTATGTCATCATTTCTCTCATTAAGATTATGTATTACAATACACGTCAAGGTTTATTTTATTTATGGAGTGTCTGCACCCGTTGTGTGTGTGTGTATATATATATATATATTTTGTAAATTTAACGTGTCACTGGAATGAAAAAAAATGGAGGATAAATGAAATATGCTGATGTGGCTGTGTAAAAAGATTGTGTAAGAGCATCTCTAAGGGTTTTTTTTTTATTTATTTATCAAGAAGTCTGTTAAGATACACTGTCATGTCATCAATGTGTAAAATTTTTGTCACCCTGATAAGTATCGTCGGCCTTATTATGTACATTTTAATGTATCTATGGCACTACATACCACACCCTTCAATATTTTATCTTCATTCACTCTCCATCGTCTCTCCTGCATTCAACATGACCTCATCTATAAATACTAATACGAGTGTGATTTGTTGGAACACGACTTTCATTGAACACACCATTAATGTATCGGACTTCTAGAAAGAAGTTAATCTCTCGTCAGTTACGATTGCTTATCGCTGTCCGTGGCCAACTAGGAAGCATGGGCATGCTAAAATGGGCGAAGAATCCATATTCGACAAGTGTCGGTCATCGACATGCATCGGACACGCCTCGACACGTGTCAGTCATCGACACGCATCGGACACGCCCCAACACGTGTCGGATACACCAAAAAAACGTGTTTTTTGACACGCTAGGGATATGTGTCCAACATGCGTGTCTTATTTTTGGGAGTGTAAAAGATAATTTTTGAAAGAAAATTGGGTTAAGGTATAAAAATATGTGAAGTTATTTAACAACTTTTACTCACTTATGTGGTCAGTACAAAATAATTTAAACTTGTAAGATTGATATGCAATTTTAGATAAAACAAACAGATATTTAAGGCCAGTCATTACACTATTACACTATTACAAAACAAATAATTTTTTTCATTATAAGGTTCATGAAAAATAGTAACACACTAATTTCAAAGTACTATATCATATATATATAATTTATATACTATTCGCTGTTTATGTCCTAATTTTTTTGGAATTGACAATTAATTAGCATATTTATTGATATAGAAGAAAGCTTTTTTATTAGCTTGTTATGTCATCATCTCCTTATTATGATTATGTATTACAATAAAAGTCAAGGTTTATTTCATTTATGGAGTATCTGCAGCCGTTGTGTGTGTGTGTGTGTATATATATATATATATATATATATATATATATATATATATATATATATATATTTGTAAATTTGATGTGTCACAAAAATTTTGGATTATTTATTTTTAGCAGCAGTTGTTCACGGTTAATTCATTAATGGAATGAGAAAAATAGAGGAGACAGAAAATATGCTGATGTGACTGTGTAACAAGGTTGTATAAGAGCATCTTTAGCAGTCTGCCCACGTATGATGTGTAATTTTTTTTTTTTAAGTCGAGTAGTCTGTTAAAATACACTGTCACGATATCAATGTGTAAAATTGTTATGAATTTTACACAACCTTTTTACACAGCCATATCGGCATATTTTCTTTCTCCTCCATCTTTTTCATTCCATTAACAAAGTAAGTTTGTAAAAATTATGTGGGGTCCAGGTATGACACTGGTTGGTCGTTATTGGGGATATATTTTTATACAAAAGGTATAAAACAACTATCAGAGTTAAAAATAAATAATTCAAAATTTTTGTGCAAATCAATTGTAACCTAAGTCACACAATCCTTCTCAACAGGTATCGCTCTCATCCTTTGTGCATACTCCTGCTTAAATTCTCACTGCTTATGACTTCATTTTGTCGTTCTCACGCTCCCGCTTTATATGACTTAAATTATGACACATCAGATTTACACAAAAAAAATATACACAATGGTTAGAGATGCTCTAAAATACATAATAATTTTACATATTGATGACGTGATAGTTTATTTTAACAGATTGCTGGAAATAAAAATAAAATTACACATGATATATGTTACAAAAAAGAGTATTTTAACAGACTACTACTCTAAATATATACATGCACTTACCCAAAAAATATATATGTACGAGCATACTCGGCTATTATTATTATTTTCAGGAAGTTGGGTTATCTTTTCATATTTCCTTCTTGTTACATGAGTGTGTCCATATGTACATATGTGTGTTTCAAACCTGAAGAATATATTTTAGAATGAATCTGGAACATAAACACATAATCACAATCTTTCAATTAGAGGCTTTTTTTTGTTTGTTGTTAATTATAGCGATATTAATTTGATCAAATTATAGATAGTAATATACATATATGCGTATAAATGAATACCAAAGTAAATTAAATATGCTTAGAGAACACACACATACTTACCAAAAAAAAAGGGACACTGAAGTAAATTACATATAAATATCCCTCAAGGCTCATAATTTACGAGTTAGGACAAAACCCAGGTATGTTATACATGATAACAAGTAAAATGGGTATATATATATATATATATATATATATATATATATATATATATATATATATATATACATATTTGGGTATAATAGACAAACAATCACCATATTCACAAATGTCTAGAGGTCTAATTTGAAGATCTAATATCAAATTTCATTTAAGATTTATATATAGTGCCGCCAACTAGGGGTGCACATGGTTCGGTTCCTTACGGTTCCGGTCAGAACCGGAACTGGAACCATTTACAAAGGTTCCTAAAAAATGGAACGGAACCGAAACCATATAAATTAGAACTGGTTCGATTCCATGAGAACTGTTAACCAGAGTTGACAGACAGCGTCTGAAGCTTGCAAACCCGAATTGGAACAGCGGGCAATGGAAACTGAAAGATATGGGTGTTTTGATTTTTTGAACAATATGAAATGATATGCCAATATGGGTTTTGAACTTTTGATTCTTACAGATAGATCTAAAATATATAGATTTTGAACTTCTGATTCTTGTAGATTTTGTAGTTTACAGTTGTAGAGAGAGAGGGCAAGTTTAGCAGTTACAGAGAGAGTGAGAGGGGGGCATGCTTGAGAGTTGAGAGACAGCGGCTGAAGCTTGCAAACCCGAACTGGAACAGCAAGCGATGGAAACTGAAAGATATGGGTTTTGAGTTTTTGAACAATCTGAAATGCTATGCTGATATGGGTTTTGAACTTTTGATTCTTGCAGACAGATCTAAAATATATAGGTTTTGAACTTCTGATTCTTGTAGATTTTCTAGTTTAGAGTTGTAGAGAGAGGGAGAAGGCAAGTTCAGAGTTGAGAGAATAGAGATGGAGGCACCACTGAAATGATTTGCCCTAAAAGTAAAATATCTAATATATATATATTTGACGAGTGTAGATTTATGGATTTTGTCGTTGCTCTTCTACACTTCGTACAAAACTAAAAGAAATACCTGCAAAGACTAAATTAACAATTAAATAGTGATAAGCAGGGTCGAACACACATCCAAGATTTAAACTCGTGAATCAAAATTAAAACCAAAATTTAAGGAAGAATAACTTTTAAAATGATTTATTACTAATAAACTAAAAATAAAATAATAAATAAGACGAAATAAATTCTAATCAAATAATAAGATTCTGATCAAATAATAAGAAAACTCTCAAGGAAAGAATCCACCACCACAGCTTACTATAAATAAATTAGTATATTTCTATGTATGTAAATTTTCCTATTGTAAGCAAATCACTTCACCAGTCCAATTACAACTTGGAAAGATAAAGGAAAATAATAGCGTGAAATAACAATTGCTTGAAAACATATTTTACTTAATCTGATATATCTTTAGTAAATAGAAATAGGCATTCTCCGAATTACCATTAATTGGCAAACACGAAGAATCCTTTTTCTAAATTTTTTTATCAAAATAAGAACACAGAATAGAAGAGTAAAATAATGCTCTAACGAGAAAATTTCAAA